AACTGTGTGCTCAAGATATCATTAATTTTATCAACTGTGGCAAGTGCTGCAGAGGGAACTGCAATGAGATCTCTAGGTTGTTTTCCTTTGGTCAATAATTCAAATAAGAGGCTAAGTAAATATGTAGGCAAAATATGGGCAAACCCAATTAAGGGTACCCAGCAATTGCTGTAAATCAACCAACAAAATAACTTTGGGTAAGTTCAATTGAGGAAAAGCCGGAGCAGAATAAGATTACAACATTTTATGCCCCAAATAAAGATAAGGAGAGTGCAGTTGTATTTTTTCCAGGGCAATCTGCAATCCATAGACACCTAAATCATTTTGTATTTCTGAAAGCCAATTAGGTTGTATCTTTGGGGCTCCAATTAAAATATCATCCATTTAATGATATACCAAAGCCAATGGACGACACTTGCGAAAAGGAGCTAATGCTGCAGCAACATAAAGCTAACATAAAGTAGGACTATTTAACATTCCCTGTGGCAAGACAGTCCAGTGATAACGTTCATTAGGTTCTGAATAATCCACTGCAGGCACAGTAAATGCAAACTTTTCCTGGTCAGTGGGGCAGAGGGGAATAGAGAAAAAAACAATCATTTAAGTCAATTACCATTACCTCATGATCTTGGGGAATCAAATTAGGGTTGGGTGCCCCGCACTGCAAGGGGCCCATAGGTTGAATACAGGCATTGACGGCCCTAAGGTCATGCAAGAAACGCCACTTACCCCTTTTCTTTTTTATGACAAAAACAGGGGTATTCCATGGACTAGTGAAAGACACAACCTGACCAGCAAGCAGCTGATCATTTACCAGTTGGTGGAGAGCTGCCAATTTTTCATGTGACATGGGCCATTGATAAATCCACACAGGCTCTTTAAGCAGCCAAGTTAATGGAAGGGCAGTAGTCTCAGTCTTCCAAAGTAAGGGTGGCACCCAATTTACTGAGCAGGTCACGTCCCCAAAGGCTGACATGAATATCTAATATAAAGGGGCGGACCTGAATGACCAAATCTAAATTAGGCAAATGGGCTGAAAGAAATTGTGCACTTTGACACACAGTTTGACGACCCCCCACACCCCACACACTTGGACAAGGCTCAGTTAGCCAGGTGACAGGCCACTACTTGGCAGAGATCACTGAAACATCCACTCCAGTATCCAAAATTCCTTCAAAGTGCTTACCCTGCAGCACAATGATCTGATGGGGCCATTGAAATGTGATCAGGGTAGTGACAGTAGCTATGACGGAAGTGGCTGGGTTAGTAGAACCGAAGCCTCCTTCCTCTCTGTCCTTTGGCTCTCCCCCTGCTGGGACAAAATAAGGCAAATGCAGGAGTTGAGCAGGACTAGTGTAAATGGGCAAAATTTGGGGTAAATTGGTCCACAATTGAACATAAATAATGCCAGTATAGTCCGAATCTATCACCCCAGGAATAACAAAAATACCCTTTTTACCCATGCTTGACCGCAGAAGGACAAGCCCTACATAATTTTTTGGTAGGGGGCCTGATAATTGAGATGGAACTACTTGAACCTCCCCAGGAAATTTAAATTTCACTTCCTCCTGCAATATCAAATCAATGCCGGCACCACCTCTGGTAGCTGCAGGAGTATTTTCTATTGTTGGTTTGTTGTCTCTGTTTGGACCGGGGCCAGAGGCCGGCCCGGTCGGCCGTTTCCCAACCGACACTCACTTGCCCAATGATAACTGTTCTGACACTTTGGACATTTTTCTTTTGGTTTCGACCCCTGATGGAAAGGGCCGTGGGATGCTGCAGACATTCCCCTCCCCCCCGGATTACAACATTCCCTTTTAAAATGACCGGGTTTGCCACAGTTGTAACACTTTCCTTGAGGCTTGCTGCCTTGCGATAAAGCGGCCACCAATAAATTGGTTTGATAAGAGGCTGTTCCTATATCTTGACATGCTTTAATCATATCTGCCAAATCAGGATTATTCCCAAGACCAATAATTGCCCTTCAGCATTCAGAAGTGACGTTGTCCTTTGCCAACTTCATCAACAACTCCTGCTGAGCTTCAGGATTGTCTATCTGCCACCGTAAAGTATCCTGTAATCTGTTAATAAAATCAGGATACGGCTCAGTAGCCTTCTGCCTGATATTAGAGAAGGCTTGATGAGGCTTGCCAGAAACAGGCACTTTTCCAAATGCTCGGTAGTTGCATTCAGAAGAAACCTGTAAAGTGGCAGCTGGTAAAACAATCTGAGCATCAACTGGAGCAAAGGGCCCAGACCCGTACAATTGATCAGGAATTAACACACACATACACAGACGAGTGAAGAGCATGCACAGCACATTGGTGTTTAAATTTGCTATCTCAAACCACATATTGCGCTGGATAAGCAGCATGCGAAAGGTAGTTTTCCAATCTTCAGGTACTAAAATATGATTTCTCATAGTGGCTTCCAGCATTCCCTGCACATAGGTACTACCCAAACCCAAATCTCTAATACCTTTTCTAAGTTCCATTAAAATTGCATACAACAGAGGACGATATTCTACTATCTGAGCTCCATTCTGATATACTTGTCACGTAGTGTGTACTGGACAAACAGACAACATATCAGCAATTTCTTCTATATCCCCCCCCCCCTTTTTTTTGCTAATTGTTCCTCTAAAATTTGCCTCATGGGGGTATACAATGGCCATGGAGAAACAGAAGAATTAACCTCTTCATGATGAGCTGAAGGTCCAATTGAAGATGATTTCGGGGGAATAATTTTTATTTGATCGTAATCAGGCAGAGGTTTTGTGGTCAATTGTTGTCCTGCCAAAGCATCAGAGCCAANTGTGTTTTATAGTCCATATTCTGGTTCACAATGCCATTGAAATCTCCCATCATACAAATATCAACATATTCTGAGTCCAAAATTATTTTATGCAATTTAAAAAAAAATTCATCTTGTTTTTCATTAGGGGCATAGATTCCAATTAAAAGTGTTTTTTTGATATGAGTCTCGCATATCTTGATGGTTCCTGGTGATGCCTGGTGGTGCTAATTAGGTGAGCTCATAGACATTTGAGGTAAACAGTTACTGAGGCGCGGCAGTTTGCTGCACACGGCCTCTATGTAACCTTTATATGACCTCTATCTCCACATGTCACTCTTTTTTATTTTGTTAGACAAGGTATCGTAAAACCCGGCCCGGTATTTGTCAAAAAATTGCGTACATAGCCTTATGGCTGTGTATACTTATAGAGTGCTGCTGGGGGCTGGGGGTGGGGGAAACGGCCCATTTTCTGTTCATTTCTGCCCTCCCCAGCCCCCAGGAGCTCTCTGAAAGCCTCCATAAGGGTATACACAGCCATTTTGGTGAAGGGGTGGGGCTTCGGGAGGCAAAAAAAATGCTGTATTCGATGTATAAGACGCACACAGATTTTCAGCCTCTTTTTGAGGGAAAAAGGTCCATCTTATACTCCGAAAAATATGGTAAGTAAAGCCATTCAACACAATGTACCTTTTTGTCTTCTAATACAGATAATACTCTCGTAGGCAGGTTACTAGTAGGAAGCACCAGAAGAGTTAACTGACAATTTCTATGAGGAATAGGATCCACAAACTGAGTGCTCAAGGTATCATTAATTTTCTCAACTGTGGCAAGGGCTGCAGAAGGAACAGCAATGAGATCTCCAGGTTGTTTTCCTTTGGTCAATAAATCAAATAAGGGGCTAAGTAAATGTGTCGGCAAGGAAAAATATGGGCGAACCCAATTAAGGGTACCCAGCAATTGCTGTAAGTCAACCAACGAAATAACTTTGGGTACGTTCAAGCAAGGAAGAGCCAGAGCAGAATAAGATTGCAACATTTTATGGCCCAAATAAAGATAGGGAGAGTGAAGTTGTATTTTTTCCAGGGCAATCTGGAAGCCATAGATACCTAAATCATTTTGTATTTCTGAAAGCCAATTAGGTTGTATCTTTGGAGCTCCAATTAAAATATCATCCATATAATGATATTGTCAGGCCTGCAGTTATAT